AATCGTGTTTGTCAAATCCTGGAATTAACATATATATTACAATGGCATCTCGTACGCACAGATAGAAACCCAGAGGACATAATATCACGAGGAATAACCTCATCAGAGTTGATAGTAGCCGAGGAATGGTTTCAAGGACCTAAATGGATGTCAACCGAAGAAGAAAAATGATCTCACCCCACTGACCAATTAATTTAAAATTATCAAATGCCAGAGCAACGACAGTTAAAAGTTGCATTAGTTGCTTGTGACACTATCAACAACGTTTTTAATGCCCATTCCAATTAGAACCCCCTAGTAAGGTCCGTTTCCTGGATCTTACGTTTCATAAAGTACAAGAAATCTAAGGTCATAGACAGCTCCAAATTTCTTTCCGTCCTAGAATTAAAGAACTCATCTTTATCAATACTAAAACGAGTTCAAGAAGAAGCATTTCATGAAGAGATCGTTAGGATTAATTCCAATAAGGAATTATGTCGTGGAAACAAAATCTGCAACCTATGCCCATTTATGAAGGATGGATTGATCAGAGTTGGTGGTCGTTTGGAAAATTCCAATTTAGCTGAGAATCAAAAACACCCAATAGTGATCCCAGCCAATAACAGAGTGACACGTTTAATATTCGAAGATCGACATCGAATGTTCTTCCATTGTGGCCCACAATCATTACTAGCGGAAGTAAGATGAAGTTACTCGCCATTAAAGGGACGCATCTTGGTAAGATCAGTCACTGTGTGTCCAATGTATCAAAGCCTAACCAATCTTTTTAAAACTACTAATGGCACCGCTACCCAAGGATCCTGTTCAGCGCCACCGTCCATTTGCCGTGTGTGGAGTAGATTTATAATAAATGATAATAAAGATGATAATAAAGAGTGGACTTCGTCAGGTAAATGGCTCAAAGGCGTAGATAGCGGTCTTTGTTTGCTTTTCAACTAGATCAATCCACTTGGAACCCGTAGAGGATCTCTCAAGCAGTGCCTTCGTGGCTTGTTTACTCCGCTTCAGGCCTCGCAGAGGAAATTGTAGCAGAATATACAGCGATAATGGAACTAATTTTGTTGGTGCACAGAAGGAACTCGCAAGCTATATATATATATGATGGGTATCGATGAAAAAATGGCGAATGAAGGTATTGAGTGGAAATTTAATTCACCAGCTGCTCACACTTCAGAGGGCTGTGGGAAAGTGCTATTAAGAGTACAAAATTTTTCATTTAACACGTATGATGAAGGAAACACGTCTAACCTTGGGAGAACTTAATACCCTTTTATGTCAAGAAAAAGCATGTATAAATTCAAGGCCGATAACACAACTCAGTAGCGATCCATCAGATTTGGAAGTATTGACGCCAGCACATTTTCTAATTTTCCGTTTTATTCCTACCACCGGAAGATGATCTGACTCAGAGACCTCAAAATGGATTAAGCCGGTGGATGTATGTACAGTAACTCATTCAGAGTTTTTGGAAACAATGGAAAAAGGAATACCTTCCTAAGCGTCAGGTTCGTGGGAAATAGGTTACAAACATTAGACATAATGAATATGATTCATAAACTGTTGTACATCAGCCCATACTACAGTATTGATATAATTTATTGTTAATTTCTAATCTGTTATACACCAGGGCATACCTTTAAATTATTATTACGTGTATATGAAAATCAGTTGTAAATTTAAACTCATTATTATTATGAAAAAAAATGATCTAGTGTATTGAATTGAAACAAAAACAAAGAGTTCAGTTACCTATTTAGTTATTATACATTTATGAATAAGTAATTACGGGACAAAAACAAAAATTTACACATAACTTAGACAGTCGGGACCGTGTAATACCGTTGAGCATTCCCGGCTCCCACAATATGATTCCCGCATTGCCAAGAGTAGTTTAAACCAAATTAAAATTAGGTTGGCAATGATTATAAAATATAATATTTGAGTATTTCCGTATCGTTTATCAATATCCAGAAAATACCACGAGGAGTCCTACTCTTTGTTTTCCAAGAATTTTTGTTTTTCACAAAAAAAATAAATTTAGTCCACAATTTTATTAAAAAAAAGTGGGTAAGTGGATTTCGCTCTGCTGTACAGTAGGTTACAAGTGTGTCATTGTATAATTGATTGTATTAAACTTTAAATCAATGATATAATTTCATTGTATAAGAAAAACGATTCTGAGCGGAGACCGTTTGTTTGTCTGGATATTTTATAATGTTATTATTTATTATGTAAATAAATATAATTTTATGGCAAGTCTATTTTTATTACAAACTATATTTATTTGAACAGGCTTAATGTGTCATCTAAAGTTGCACAATACACTTTTGAATCGTTACTTAAATCAATTTGTAATACATTTTATCAAACAGTTTCGATACTGCTTGACAAATAAAAATTTAATTATCTGGAACTATAGCCTATACATTTTTATTGATTAATAAAAAAAAAAAATAGCAGATTCTAAAATAATTCATCGCTTAAGGGTCAAAAGATTCCTAGTAAAAAGATTAGTGTTCCTGCTTTTGAATCCAGGTGATAAAAAATTCCATCCACAACTTGTAACGCCAGCCTGTAATAGTGTAATGGGCGGTCATCAAACTTTACTGCGATCGACTTCCGGAATTTTAATTTTCACTGTTTGGCCAATTAACAAGTGGTATTTACTTTTAAGATTATGTGAAACTCGCATATGTTGTCTCAGTCTTACAAATGTGTGACATAGTTAATTCTACCCAAAGCAGAACACGTTTAGCTACTTTCATTAAAAAAATTAGAGTGAATTGACCTCTTATAAAATCTAAAGGTAAGATGATTATCTAAGCAACCATATGGGCTTTTTATTATATTTTAATTTTAAAGTGAGTTAAGATTATTTTAAAATTTTAAATTGATTGAACGTCTTAAAATACTCATAACTCGCCCAAAGCCAAAATAAAAAGCCCACGAGGTTTTCTAGATAATAATTTCACCTTTAAATTTTAAAATAGGTCAATTCACTCTAATTTTTAAATTAACGGAGCTATACGTGTTCTGCTGATCATACAATTTACTATGTTACGTACTTGTACGACGGAGACAACACATGCGGGTATCATATCCTTTTAAACACCTTTATATATTACAATGCAAGGCTGAACATGTTAATGATTTTTTTTAACTCAGTAAAGTTTAGTTAATATGCTCCAATAACAAAAAGTTAAAAGTTAAAAGTTAATTTAACTATAGGTTAACTATTTCTGTTTGAGATATCGTTATTATAAAAGCGGCCGTCATTTTTCCCAACGTTACATTGATGCACCGATACCCCCTTCCCGACGAACCTTATCGGTGATAAGCTGGCCTGATTTAAGTATTTTCCCCATTAGCTGGCCAGCACCTTATTGTGCCCTTTACCTTTTTTTTTATTACTGTAATTTTGTTAAAATAGTAGGCCGCAACCAGGTTATTGAAATTATAACCAATCGCATTGTTTTTTGATACTGTACTACTCCGAAGTACCTACCATCACCGTTTATTCTAATACAGTCCACTATTCAACGTAACATTGGTCCATCGAGCCTAGGATATATATAATATATTATTCTAAGTGAAAATATTACTAGCAGTCTTTTACTGAGAAGTCACCAATATTTCCGGAGAATGGTAGTTGTCAGAAAAATGATAAGAATGGTAACCCGGCGGTTAGATATTATGGTTATACGACAACAAGGGTGTTGCCAACCTTGTTAGATTAAAAAGAATTTGTGTGGTCCGACGTATGCTGTTTTTCAAAGCCTTTGACCATCACTAAATAATTTATTGTAGTGAAACCATAGACCTATTAACTTAACCTTAGTTAAGAGGTCATAATGTAGGAATTGGTAAGTACAAAATTTTACTAATTACTAAACTACAAAGTATTAGGTTTATTAGGACAATTATTTAACAAAAAAAAAAAATACTTGATAAGTTTAAAGTAAAAATAACTTAACTCAGTTAAAAAAAGTTTATTTTTTTTCAAGTTTTATAAGTCATATGCCCTAGTATTTTGTTGTACACAAACATTTACCAAGACTTTTGACACTGTGTAAAAATTAGATTATTATAAAATATAATTTGAAAATTAATTACCAAAATCGAAAAAGTGTCAACGAATCAGTATTGTCTATTTGACTACGCATACACATTTTTAACTACAAAATAATTATTAAATTTTTAATTTGATAAATATTGCCGCTTTTCCTTCATTAAAAATGATTATTTATTATTTATTTATTGTTTATAAAGGCGGTATTAAAGACATTAAACTTAAACATTTAATATTATAATATTTAATTGAATTCCTATATAATATTATTTATATTATTATTAAGATTTTGTCATCAGTGTTGTCTATATGTCGACTGTAATTATTATTGTCATGATTTTTGTTTACGTTGGTGTCACTGCTGGATCACTGGTATAAATCGTGGTTAAACATTCTTATCATTTTTCTGACAACTACCCTGTACCCCAATATTTCAATTTTAATATAATTACAGAGATTTATATGTACTATAGTAAATATAATAAAAAGTGGGTTATTTGCATTATTATAATTAACGAAGCGTTGCATAGTATAGAATTTGGACTTTGACCGGCAGGCGTAGGACGCTGCCGCGTCGACCGTTATAGCGTAGTAGATAAAAGGTGTCGTCTTCGCAAGAACTTGGTCAAGGTTAAAAAGTAGCTTATTTCTGGAAAGTTACATATCGTATATACAGGGTGACTCAAATTTCAAGTAACAAAAAAGAAATAATAGATTTTAACTGCTTTGTTATTTTGGTATATTTTTGGTTGTACCTACTGGCTTGAATTGCGTGTACGTTTTGTGGAGGAGAATATAGCGCCATGGGTGCTTTTGAAGAAGCAAAAATTCGCCTCTTGGACATTCAGAAACGAATCATGCGAGTACGAGACGCTGGAGATGCGCTGAACAAGATACCGGTCACCAGGTTGGACAAACCAAGTTTCGAATGATGTATGCCACTGTTCCGCGGATTAAGGAGGAATTTAAGGAACAGCTTTCGATTGTAATAAAACAACTCGGAAAACCGGAAAAAGACCAAAAGTCAGAAGTAGATATCAGTTCACCAGAGGACATTCGTGATAAGTTTGACGAAGTGTATTTTGAAGTGATGATTGCGGCAGATGAGCATATACCAGTTTTACTTCAACATCCGAATGCCGACGAAACTTTTATCAGTACATCTCAAAACCGAGATAGACGCGATGTGATACCACTGGAAAAGCTATCAATACCGAGGTTTGGAGGAGATCCGATACAATATATCAGTTTTAGAAATTTGTTTGACATTGCGGTACACAACAATACTAACCTGCCACCTGTTCTTAAGTTCAGCTATTTAAAAAGTTACCTGGAAGGCGAGCCGTTAGCGCTTATATCCAATTTGATGCTAAGTGACGATAACTACACTATAGCGCTAACAATTTTGGACAAACGCTATGCAAACCGTCGGATAATTGCAAAGAGTCACTTGAACCAACTTTGGACGATGCCAAAAGCAATGTTTTGGTGATGCTAAATCTATCCACCAGATGCTGAACACGATCACGGAGTCGGTTAGAGCGCTCGCAAACCAAAATTACTCCGTGGATCAATGGGACCCAATCTTGCTACAATTATTTGAATTAAAGTTGGACTCTCAACTTCGTGCTCAATGGGAATTAATAGTAGATACAACGGATGATCCAAGTATGAACATCTTTACCATGTTCTTATCAACATTTTTCAATGCTGCAATCGCTGGCCAATCTGGCATATAACAGGAAAAACCAAATAAAAAACCATATGGGAAAACTGTCACGTTGCATGCCGGAAAGCCAGACCCACGTGAGAATAGAAGGCAATTCACCTGTCAGGTCTGCAATACAACACCTGGTCACCTGTTGATTGCTTGCACAGTGTTCAAACAGAAAACACCAAAGGATCGGTACCAAATAATTAAAGACCTTAGGCGTTGTTTCTTGTGTTTTAGCGAGCACCCAGTGAGTCAGTGTAAACACACTTGAGTATGTTTGAAATTCAAGGGGCGACATCATTCCCTATTGCATTTTGAAAATACCTCAGACGTTCAACTAACGACCATAGTGAATACCACCGAACCTCAACCCACTACCACCGTGAATAGTATGTTTTCATCCGACAAGAGGGTCAACTCCTGTGTACTCATGTCTATGATGACTGTATTAGTACAGGATAGTAGTGGACAATATCAAGAGGCTCGAGCGCTCTTAGACAGCGGCAGTCAAAGCAGTTTCCTCACGGAACATTGTCGTAACAGGTTAGGGGTGACACGGGATAAATGCAGTGTAGCTGTGCAAGATATGGCCGGCCTACAAGTACCGCTGATAAAAGCACGTACTCAAATTATCATCAGATCCGTAAGGCGTAACACGTCTCTCTTCCCAGTTGAGACTTTCATACTACCTCGCATCACGGTGGAAAAGACCAGTCCGGCAGAACAAAAATGCGAAGAGATCTATCGTACCACTACTACTCGACAGGTGGATGGTTGATATATAGTACATCTGCCATTCACAGATGATCCACCTCCTATTGGAGAATCATACCATCTAGCTCACACAAGGCTCATACATCTGGAATCTAGGCTTTCAAAATCCACGGATCATGTACAGGATTATAACGGGGCCATGCAAGATTATTTAGACTCCGGACATATGAGTTATGTAGACAACACTGAGGGCATTGATAACACATCTTTTTACATACTACACCACGGTGTAGTGAAATCCGGAAGTTCGACTACCAAGCTCCGTGTTGTTTATGATGCGTCAGCCCTATCTTCAAATGGAAAATCGCTAAATGATTACTTGTTTGTGGGGCCCAAACTCCAACAGCATCTACCAGGAGTCATTTTACGGTTTCGTTTACACGCAGTAGTGTTCAACACCGATATCAAGCAGATGTTCCGGCGGATTCGTTCAGCGTCTACCGTCACCCGTCACCCGTCAGCCGCCGTCACGGTTTTTATATTTATATTTTTACATATGTGTGTTATTTTATGCTATTTATTGTGTTAGCCGTAATTTAAGTATTTTCCCCATTAGCTGGCCAGCACCTTATTGTCCCCTTTACCTTTTTTTTTATTACTGTAATTTTGTTAAAATAGTAGGCCACAACCAGGTTATTGAAATTATAACCAATCGCATTGTTTTTTGATACCGTACTACTCCGAAGTACCTACCATCACCGTTTATTCCAATACAGTCCACTATTCAACGTAACACTTCTTTCTTTCTTCTTCTTCATCAGCTTGCCAGCTCATTAAGAACCAGCGCTGCCATCACATGACTCAGTTAAGTTAAAAGTTAATATACACTTTTTGTTAACTTTTTATTAAGTCAAAAAAAAGTTAAATTATTTATACAACGCTATAGTACCTACTTAATTTTTTTCCAACCCAAAACTAAATTATAGACTATAATGTTTATACTGTACAGTATTTCCATAAAAGCTAGATTCGAATGATATACAATTTTAATTTTTAACAATTCAAGGTAAATATTTTTTGACATGAAAACGAAATAGACTGAAATAGTGAAATACAATTAAATTAAAAATAAAATAATTTCAACGAAATTCCCCACTCAGTACATTTTGAGAATTTACAAAGCTCTGGTTCAGAGTCTGTCTCTAACTTATTTTCCCATTACTTCAATACAGTCTATGTCCCTCCTTTGTCTAATGACCATTCGTCTCCTTTTTTGTTCCATGACCTACCTAGCACTTGTTCATTCGACATCGATGATGTTGACGCTGGTCTAGACGCACTAAAAAATGTTAAGTCCGTAGGCCCCGACGGCTTGTCAGGTATATTCTTATACAATGTGAAATCTTCATTATGTTTTCCACTGTGGCTACTTTTTAAGCGTTCAATCGAAAGTGGAGTTTTTCCCTCTTCTTTCAAGATTAGCTCTGTCACTCCTGTTTTTAAATCTGGTGATAAAGCTGATGTCAAAAATTATAGACCTGTTTCTATTTTGAGCCACATATCCAAACTGTTTGAACTTCTAGTATTGAGAAGTATTCAATCGCCAATTAACTCTATTCTAATCGACGAGCAACATGGGTTTAGGCCTGGTCGCTCGACCACTACTAATTTACTCGTTTTTAACAATTTTGTTATGAAGGCTGTCGAGAAGCACATCCAAGTTGATGTTATTTTCACAGACTTTACTAAAGCCTTCGATAGAGTCGACCATGGCCGCCTAATCGAGACCCTATACAAAACTGGGTTCGGTGAACCATTGTTGTCTTGGTTCAAATCTTATTTGTCAGACAGAGTCCAATGGGTGAAAGTGTTCGGATGCAAATCATCCATCTCAAAGGTCTCTTCTGGAGTTCCTCAAGGAGGACATTTATCTCCAATATTGTTTTCTTTGTATGTAAATGGCATCAAGGAAATTGTCAAAAACTGTGAACTTCTCATGTTCGCCGACGACTTGAAGCTCTTTAGGAAAATTGATAACTTATCTGACTGCTCTACGCTCCAGAATGATCTCAACAACCTGGTCTCCTGGTTTAATAATATTGGTCTTCAGTTTAATGTAAATAAATGTCATTCCATGTCATTTTTAAGACACCGCTCCCCTATTAACTATACTTACTCCATCAATGGTTCAAGTGTAACATCGGTTTGTAGTAAGAAAGACCTAGGTATTATCTTTAATTCCGATCTCAATTTTCACTCCCACACTGAAATGATATGCTGCAAAGCCTTAAAAACGCTTGGGTTTGTAATGCGCATATCAAAGGAGTTCAATTTATCTTCTTCATTAAAAACTTTATACTGCTCATTGGTCCGTTCACTTTTAGAGTATGCATCGGTCCTATGGGACCCTTATACGGTATCTGACTCATGTCAATTAGAGCGTGTTCAGAGACGGTTCTTATCTTGCGCAGCTTTTGTCTTAAAAATAAATCATCCTCCCCATGATTATTTCTTAGTTATGCAGGAACTCAGCCTCATTTCACTGGCCGACAGGCGAGTTAACGCTAACATTGAGTTTCTGAATAAACTGATTGATGGTCGTATAGATGCTCCCTCACTTCTCTCGATAGTCAATTTCAGAGTTCCTTCCCGTGGTACTAGATACCATGCTCCCTTCGTTGTTCCTGCGCACACTACCAATTATGGCAGAAATAATCCGTTAGACCGCATGATGCGGCTGGCCAATGAGAGCACCGTTTATCAAAACTGATACATTTATTATTATATATTTTTATATTTGTTTTATTATCATTATTATCATTATTATTCTGTAATTATTATCTTATATAAATGTAATTATGTCATTGTATTAATTATTTTAAATTATGTATTATTGTATTATGTTAAACTGTTGAATAGGGCCCAGCCCGTTAACAAATAAATAAATAAATAAATAAATAATTTAACTTGACTCATTTCTCAAAATGAAAAATTAAATCGTTAATTTCATGTTAATTAAAAAATAAATTTAGTAAGTTAACAGTTGTTAATGAAAAGCCATAAGTAACTAGTTAAGTTAAAAAGTTAAAATAAGTTTAATTTTTCCATCCTTCATTTAAGAGGACGTGTCACGAAATATTTACGCGTGCAACGACCAAGAGGATGCGCTGTTAGGTGTTCAAGATCCGCAAGCGCGCGGCGCTTAAGTCACGCCTACTATTCACAATTCGCAACCGGCTGACGGTGGCGACGAATTCTCGTTCGCGAGCGCCGTTTATTTGTCTATAAACGTTCGTCCAGTACTGTTCGTATCATCATATAAAACTCATTATACGCGACTGCCGCCGTAATATTTTCAATACCCTCGCGTACCTATGAACTACCAATTATAAATTAAGATACTGCTTACCTAAATGTATGTCCCAATATATAGATCGTATAAACTGTATTATAACATAGCTTGATTTGTATTTATTATTGATTATTACCTACTAATTCAAATACCTAACCTAATATCTATATTAAAAATATATTTGGGTAGTACCTAAATAAATACAGTGCAATCAAATTAATATTAATTTTACGTGTTTCATATTTTACATTCAAGTTATATTATGTTCCTTTTTTAAACATAGATTTTTAATATTATGATAATAAATAATAATTAATGAAAATATATCGACATTTATAAAAATAAATGGAATGTTTCAAATCCTTATAACTAGCTTAAAAATAAGCGATATATATTTTGAAAATGATAATCATACAAAAATAAAAAAACAATTTATATAATAGTTAGATTCTTTTTTTTTTATGTTTTCTAAAATGTGTTTCGGCTCTAAAATATCTGACTTCAATAGCCGTTTGCCATACCGTGGTTGAACCAATTCGGGCAAAAGACATTCCTTATAAAATCTGTAAAATATATGATTTCAAGTTACAACATTCAAATATTATGTTATTTACAACTACTGTAATAGGTATTTAGTTCGTATTTTTTACTTGCGTTTCTAACTGAGTTTCCATTTTAGAACGCCAAAAGTTTTTGTCGAATTCAACTACATCATAATGAAGCCAGTGTTCTGAATATACAACAAAATATCATACCTTCCTCTTAGTTATTTTCAACTGCCCTTGCACTTGGTAGTAGTATGAACTATCTTTTTTTAGTTTCATTTTACCATCTACAATGGTTATATAAGGTATCTGTAAATTATAAATAAAAATCATAGATAGATAGGTAGGTATAATATACTAAACATTCATGTTTGTTTGTATCATAGTTTATAATAATAATTATTATTTTATTGTACCTTTTTGTTGTCGACTGCAACTTGAATACCAATGGTATCTTTTGTCGATAAAGGACATTTAATTTCAAGTAGAGCTGTATCGCCTACTAAACCATCTGCAGAAAATAAAATATATACTTTATCTGTAGGTATATACAAAATATACATAATTTACAATATACATTATACAATATACATAATATAAATAAATATAATAAATCGTATTCACCAGGGCTAGCAGCTAAGAATGGTTTATCTTTGTCGATAAACAAACCACAATTTAAAACTTTAAAATTGGTTAAAGTTTCAAATTTCTTTCTAGCTGTATCTTCCATCATTTTTCCATATTACATCGCCTTGGTTGTTACATTTCCGTAAAGCAAATCATATACAGTTCCTTTACAGGATGTATTTAAACGCATTTTGCAAACTCTACCAAAGTTGGATGCAGTTAGGCGAATTCTACGTTCAACTTGCCACGTTTGTGAATTCGATTGGTCAATTGTCTCCCTTTCTAACTTATCGATAGCTTCACTAGAAATTGATAATGATTTCATAAAATTATTTTTTTTTTTCATCTATATCTCCAGGTGTTTCATTATCGTCCAATGGTTCAGCTAGCCCATAATGTTCATCGGGGCCAAAATTTTTTTTTGGTTTAGCAGTATATTTTTCTTTTTGAAAATTAAGCCTTCTTTTTTGTAAATTACTCAATTTACTTTCACGGGATTTCAAAAATTGTTTACCAACTATTCCTATGTAAGTAAAAAAATTATAAACAATATATAAAAATATAAATGTCTAAATAATGAAAAATATAAATACCTGGACTCTTCTTAGTAATTTTTTTATGAATTAATCTAATATATTGTCCTGAAGTATTAAAAGATACTACAGTAGCTTCAACACGGGCGTTATATAAATTTTTTAGAGCGAAATTAATGCGTTTGCCAGCAATATGTTTGTTGATAATACTATTAAATTGCTCACATATATTATTATCAACATCTAGTAACAAACTTTGGGCATTTTCAACAACTCGATGGTAAATTCGTGATATTTCACTCATTAACCCACACTCTTCCGCTTCAGGTACAAAATTTTGTTCACCGATTTTAGAACCATTACAAAAATAAGAATCGCAATTTAAATGTTGCCCTAGTAAATGTGATGGTCCATTTTCAATATCCTTTTTTAAATCTAAAATTATTTTATTTAACTTATATTATTTTTACTTGTGATTAAAATTTTTATTTGTGTAAAAAACAAAAAATCATTTATTAACTACCTTTAATTTTGTTTACTTCACTATCACATAGCGATTTTCTATGCTGAATAGCCATAGTTATGGCTGTTCGAAATTTATTGCATTTTTGTTTCTGATTTAATAAATTACGTAAGTGCACTGGATATTTAGTATTTTTGGTTAATTGAGATATTTTTTGACCAAGATTTCTCAATATGTGGTTGCGATATTCAATTTTATCTACTAATAATTTTGGCCCATATGGTAAAGTTTGATGAAGTCGCTTACACATTGAACTGTCTCCATCCCCTAAACATAATATTATATAGGTAAAATAATAAAATTCACTAAACTATTTAAAAGGTTAAAAAGGCAATAAGTGGGTGGTACCACTGCTATACAGTAGGTTATACATATAATATTACGAAGTGTAATTTATGAAATAGTTGTGATTAAAGTAATTCATTCTATTATTAGGTTTTAGAACTACAGGAGATTAAATTAATGTTAGCCGAGAAAATTGCATTTGAAAATACCTAAAATGTCACAAAAATGATAATAATTGACTTCATATATATAAGTTTATTATATATTAGACCATGCATTTCAATACTCTTCGCAAAACCTTCAGCTATAGCGTCAGCTTCCATACCAGTTGATGTTCCTTTCCAATTTAAAAAACAATTATGAGTTTCAGATATTGTGTTTTTGTTTTTTGAATGTTCGCATATTAAACAATAGCGATTACGTATTCCAATGAACAAAATTTTTTTAGTTCTAAACCCAATTATTGTTGCCTAAAATGTAAATTAATAATGTAAGAGTATATATTTTTTAACTATATCCTCTAAACTTAAATGCATAAAATTATACTATTTAGTCAGCAATATAATATATAATTATTATAGGTATATAATTTAGCAATATAAATTTAAAAGAACTTATAGTATCTTACCACTCCAGATAACGAATCGTACTTAGTTTTATAACTTCGCTTACACCACGATCCGTCAGCTACTACAGTTATCATGGGTACTCCATCCGAATTTAAATTACCATCTTCAATGGCTAACTTTTTTTCTTCTATTCCTAAATAAATGTATAGACCTATAATAGTTAAAGATCTACCCTGTTTCCGTAGATATACTGTATATATATATATATATATATATATATATATATACCAAGTGATCCATTTAATGTAAGAAGACTCGTTTAAAGTCATTAAAATTAAAAAATATATTAAATATATTAACACAGTTTTTTTATTAAATAATTATTGTAATAAACTACATGACGTCCAAAATAAGATTGTTATTTAGATCGAAATATTGCGATTAATATACTGCTACGAAATATGAAATTTATATATAATTATAATAACTTACGTTAAATGGATCACTCTTTACATATAGAGAACAGTAAGTACTAAGTTTAAAGCAAGTATAACAATTTTTTAGCATGCTACTGTATACATAATAAATTATAATATATAAATAAAATTATTGTAAGAATTTTATAATTTCATATTGTAATTATCATACCGGCTAGGTATATTTCATCCCACGCAGTTTCATTTATAATTTCACCAATATTTGATTGCAGTTTAATAAACACATTAGGTGAAATACACGGGACATCTAAAGTCGCTGAAAATTCAATCAGTTGTGTATGACCAATTCCAATTGCAATAGAATCACTAACTGCTGCTTTATTTACTCCTCCATATTCAGTTTTAGAAGTGTTCTCAGAGTCAATTTTTATTTTAATTTGACAAACTAAACATTTAAACAGCCAAGAACAAAAAATCCTTTTGTGTTCAGAAATTAATTCCATATCTAAGAATGTACAGTCTAGCCCTCCCTTGTGTCTACAATTCAAAATTTGTTTGAATACAAAATTCATATCCACAATTCGACGACCACACAATTCTTTAGAACTAAAAAAATATTTTGCAAAAATTAATTGACTTTTAAAATATTTATATAATATTAGTATAAAGTTGTTAGCTAAGATTAGATACCTTTCAATTTGCTCATTGGACATTTCCACAGAAAGTTGAGTGGAGTTTATAATAGAATTTTCTGGTTCAATTTCTATAAAGGTCGATTGAGCGAGTGGACTTTTAATTTCTGGAGATAAATTGAATGTACTGGAATTACTGTTGTTAATATAATTGTTACCATTTTCAATACCACAATTTGACATGCCGTCAGAAATTTCAGATATATCATTAAAACCCGGTATATCAGTCAGTATATCCACACCTGTCACTGTACTATTAAAAATGATTACTTATTATAAGTTATAACACTATAAAATAGCGTATAAAATAAATAGTTAAATATATGAAATATGTGTCAACCACATTATTATTTTTAAATAAATAATTATATTATATTATTTAACTTACTTTTGTATTGTAGAACTAAAGTCAGCATTAGAAGTATCCTGATCGATTTCTCTCACAGTACCTTCAGTACTAATAGTTAAAAAAAAACAATATTGTTATTTTAAATAATATAATACCATATTATATTCATATAGAAACTAGTACCTATGAATTATATTATGTGCCATTAGTGGCGTAGAGTTCAGTTAAAAGTTTTTTAAGCTATTTATATGTAATTGAACACTTGAACTTTCGATTTTTCTAATGTATTTTTTTTTTAATTATTTCATTAATTTTTAGCTATTTATAGGCATATGAAATATTTCATCTCTTTTTTATAAATTTCGATAAAAACATTTTGGTTGGGTCAAAACATTTGAAAATGCACCAAATACAAAGTTCGTCTAAAGCTAGTTTTACAGTGATTCAAAAATTATCAAAATACATAGGCACAACTGTTTTTATTAGTGCTTGAAGATGAAATACCGAACAAATAATCTTCGTTTAGAATCGTCTTTCATATAGAAAATCATTGCATTCAATTTTAACACATACAATATAGTTTATTTACTCTATGACCGAGGTTCACTCCCAGTGGCGTAGCCAGGGTTTGTTTAAACACCCCCCCCCCCCCATTGACATTTCCCCCTAATAAATCTTGTATTGTTTATAGGGTTCGGGACTCCTTGCATGTTTTATTGTAGTGGTAGTAGGTTATTTTAGAAAAGTTATAAATTTGTCTTATGAAATTTTTTTGTCTTATCAAACGATGTTTAATTTTGAATATTTTTGCATATTGTAAGGAAAGAGTAAATTTGAGCGATTTTTTGTATATTTGTGCATATTATATTGTGTTTTTTTTTTTACTTAAATGTAGGTACTTACATACAATTTTCTAGAAAAATCATATTTGGATAACATTGAAAAATATCTTTAAAAATATTATGTTTGGTTAGGTATAATAGGAGCTAATTTTGAGATTTGGAGAAGCTGAAGCCTAAAATCATACTATTATAAAATTGAATAAGCTTAAAAAATTTAGTAAATGTTTGGGAGGATATCATGGACCCTATTTTCACATATGGTACGTAAGATTTTATAAGTCTCTTTGTGGCAAGACTGTGTTAAAACTATAATTGACATCTAGATTCTAGATTGTACGAAGAAATGAAAATCAGTAGATACGTGTTCGTTTATCACGGGGTTCGCATATCACGTTATTCGTTATTACTTATTTATTAACCTAGTATTTTTTGGCAGTATTTTTAAAAATCAAATTTTATTTCACAATAGTTTAAAAATGTCCAAAACATGCAATAGCTGTGTCCTCCGTCCATCATATTAATCAAAATACAAGTACCTATAGGTACCAACCTATATTAAAATTTGTATACCCGCGATTAAATTATTTTTATCATGTTTATATACCTAATAATTTTTTAGCTTTTTATTACAAAAATTGTATTATGTTTTATGAATTTTTCAAAAATAATATAAAAATGTAGCTACATATATTTAAGCATATTTCGATAATATTTGGTGCAACAAGTCAAGTCCCGAACCCTAAATTTATTTATATACGAAAACTGTAAAAACTTGGTTTTAATCTATACTCAAACACCCCCCATTTCATAATTCTGGCTACGCCACTGTTCACTCCACCCTTACTATACAGCAAAGTGAGTTCCCGGTTATATTTT